CTAAATTTCATTAAATGTGGAAAAACACCATTATCAATACATTTATTAAAAATAGTGGCTAGATATGGAGCAACAATATCTATGAAAGAACTAACTACTTTTACAGACATGACCCAAAGGTCTTCCGTATTTTTTAAATTTAGCTGTTTGAATATTTTTATGATATGAAAGGGGCTAACATGTGAAAATTTAAATCTTAAAGAACAACAACCGATATTAGTCTCTAGTAATTTTTTTGCTCGAGATGGAGATGAGTCAAGAGAAGATGTAATATCAATCGGAATATTAGCAAAAAAATCTTCAAAAATATTATCTACATCTTTTGTTGTTGTTATTAATTTATTATCATAATTTAATGTAAATTGATTACAGGCTATTTTAGATCTTCCAGTTTCTTTATTTATAATGCTCCAGATGGTTTTAATTTTGTCAGAAGACTGCTTAATTTAAATTTGACTTAGCCATAATACAAACTTTTTTAAAAATTTTAGAATAATTTTTCACATAAGTGGTGAATTTGTCATCAAATCGATATTTTTTTTTGATCGTATAAATCAAACAAAATATTTCTACTTTTAAGTATTCCTACTGTTGCCCACTCCGTGAATTTAGATTTAACATGAACATCTTTTTTCTTGAAAAATTGTTCATGTTCTCCTGATAAAATATTGATTAGCTTGGTGTAAAGATAATCAGGATTATTACTAAGATTGTAACAGCAAATCCAATTTATTTTTAATCGCGCTTTTGTATTTATTAATATTGTAAACATTTATTTGTCTTTTTGATTTTTTATTATTGTTGACTTTATTGATTTGACTGCTAAACTTAACAACTTGACCACAGTGATCTGAAGGAAGTTTATTTATTATGAATTTTTCTGTATACTCGCAGTTACAAAAAACATTGTCAAGACAAGTAGCAGACGTGGCAGTTACACGAGTGGGTTCATGAAAGACATGACTTAAATCAAATGATTGAAATAAACTAATAAATTTTGTACACACCCAGTGTTACAAAGAATATCAACGTTGAAATCTCCACATACAATAATTTTTTTAATACTATTAAATACTTTTTTAAAATATCCTCCATAACCCCTTCAAAAACATTGTAATCACTATTAGGAGGCCTGTACACACATATAAGGATATAATTTTCTAGTTCTATACAAGATAATTCTATACAACACTCAATAGAAAGTCTAACAATGTCAGCACGTTCCTTTACTTTAATATTATTTCTTGCAATTATCATAGACCCGCCTCTGTTGACTTTCTATTGAAGCAGCTGACAACGTTATAATTATTTAAATTGAACATCATATGCTCTCTTTAAGCCAATGTTCTGTGAAACAGACTATATCAATATTATACTTTTCTAAAAATAATTGTATAATTAACTCGCTGCTGGGAAAACTTTGTATGTTCTGATGAACAATTATTAATTCTGATTGCTTTCCCTTTGTATTTGTGAGCAGTTTAAATCTGCAGTCATAGTATTTATGTCACAAATATTAATAGAATTATTTGTTATGTCAGTATTTTTATGTTTAAGTTTACCATGTAAACTGTTCATGTAGTCAATATTATAAGCCACTAAAGTGGCTATTTTATTTTTAGATTATTTAGGGAGATAGATTGTATCTTTTGTCAAATAAAAATCACTAATAAAACTATTAGTATCAAAAAATGTCACTATGACGACATGTCAATGTATGTAATAAGTTATTCAGGTAATGTACCTTACTGTTAACTTTTTTATGAAGATGTCTATTTGTGTAAGGAAAAGCGCACAATACAATCTTATACACATTTAATTGTAATAAATATTCAATTCCTTCAATTACATCCTGCCTATTTAATTGAATACTATTACCAAAAAATAACACAATTGTGGTCATATTGTTCATTTTCGTAGACTTAATTTTATTTATTATTTGTGTAAATGATGCTTCTGGTATACAGTAGTTTAATAAATCACCCTTAAGATGATACTTCAAAATAGACCCAAAGTTACAGCCTATTCTGTCAGAGAACACCATTGTGCTACTCTTAGGGTTACAGTCACTGGCACAAACACCCTGAACTTCATTTTCCAGCACAGTTACAACTGAATTATTATTTGATATATTTGTGTGATTACATGTACAATGCTTAGTCAACGACTCAAAACGGTCAGCATTGCATTTACTGACATCAATCAGATCATCCATTGCTAAAATATGCTCCTGGATTTGTTTCTGAGAGATAATATACTTTGTATTTAAATCATGAAGCGAAGATTCTAAGCTATTGATTTTTGAAGTTAGGTAGTCTGTATCAATGTCATATAACTTTTGGCTTTCCACTAACTTATTATTACACTTATTAATGTAATCATGCAATTTTAAATTATTTAAAGTGTTTATTTTCAATAACTGTCCCTTTTTGCAACGCTTATTTAATATATTCTTAATTATAAACTTTTTTAGTTTTAAATATTTTTTAAATTTATTATTACTCAACATACAAATGTTACTGTTATAGTTGCCTAATTTAGTTGATGTATCACTAGTAAGGTCAATTACAACAGGATGGGTGCATGGAACTGTAGTAGAAGGAGGCACACAGTCAACACTAATAAGTTCCTCATATAAATTACTAATCTCATTACTTTGTCGAGAATCCAATCTTGTGTCTAGATCATTGATTTTAGAATATGCCTGCTTTAACTCAAGCTCCAATTCAGTGATACGCCTCAAGGCTTGCTCATGAGTGTCACTAGATTGATGAAAACTACTTATTAGTTCTTGAAGCTGATCCCGCTGCTCAAAGTTCTGACAATTCTGATTTTAATTGGGTATTTTTATTTATAATTTTTAAAATTTCATCTTCACTCTCTTCTCTCTCCCTGATCAACTTGTCACTGAGATCTTTGGATGCCTGAAGTTCTTGTAGGGCCACTTTAAGCTTCATCTCTGTCTGCCGTGCAGTTGTGGTACGGGTAGATAGTGACATTATTGAATATATGAATAGTTACTAGGGAGAGTGAAGTAAGTTATTTCTAAAAAAGTATTACAACGAGAACAGCAACTGAACCTTACTTATTTTAAGTGTTAAAATTTTGAATAATTTCTGTTAGGTATATTATATACAACCTACATTTTACAAGATTAAGTAAATGGAATTAGGCTGTGCTCCTTTCCTTCAAATTATATTAATATAAAACATAAAATTACTTACAATATATTTTGTGGGTATATTTTTTCCTTCGACGTACGCAACAACTGAACTTCACAATTATTAATATCAATTTGAATTAATGTGAATATTTGCTATAAAACTTGTATATATTATGAAATTCTTTGAATAAGTCCAACAAATAGTTATAAAATAGTTTTAGAATTAGTTGTTTACCAACGAAAAAAGTTTGACAGATGGCCGGTGCACTATTTTAATGTCGATTTTTGCAAATAATACACTACCAAATTGTGCACAAACAATAATCGACACTTATTGCACTATTATATCACTAATAACGATGTCGAAAATATAATATTCGTGTGATGGACTATTAAAAATTATTTATTTATTACGGCCAGCTGAAAATTACAACTGTCGTTGGTGTTGCTAGTCGAAGAAAAAACATAGTAGCATAGTCTCTATTACTACTTTTTTCAAATAGATTTGAAATGAATACCCAAGACGGTACGCCGTATGTGTAGTAGTAAAAATGTACAACACATTGGAATTAGAACCACAAAAAATGCATTTATATATATTCACTGTAATATTAGAGTACCTAAGCCATGTTGACCGGAATGTTACGGGAGATGCAAAGTCTCTGAATTTAGATAAAACAAATACTGAGGAATACCTGTATCGTAACTTTATTGTGCGGATATACTCCTCCTATGAAACCTTAACGTACCCTTCTTGAAAAACTCCATGCTGTCGGCAGGCAATTCATTCCACAATATATGTGTAAGTATTCCATGTCGATGGCGAGCGATGGAATGATAAAAGATAGCTCTATACACATCATGTAAAAAAAGGTCTTACAACAATTATAAACACAAAACTTATGCAGTCCAAATCTTTAGATTACTGCTCTATCTTGAACACTATTACTTGAAGGAATTTATTCTTTCAAAGGTAATAGTGCGAGATCTATACAAATTTGACTGCATCGATGTTCTAGCTGACACACACACTAGACACTGCCTCATTTCCGACGGCCTTGGGTTCGATTCCTTGCATTGAGTATGATTGTTTGTATTGATCTGGGTATTTATATTATATGTATATTATGCATGTATTTAAAAAAAAAGTATATTTATATCAGTTCTCTAGTACCAGTAACACAAGCTCTGTTTAGCTTGGATTAAATCATGCTCTGTGAATTGTCCTTGGTTATTATTACAATTTTTATCTATAAACTTTCTGTCCTAATCTTATAAGATATAGATATGAGAGATGTCGGAAGACTGCAATTATGGAAGGTAAAGAACAGCACTATGTTATTTCTGAAGGCAGAAAGCAAAAATATCGTGGTTGTTTTCAGCTGGCAGGAGTCCGGCAATATAACCGCTTGCAACATCTGAGGTGCTAGATCTTCATAATCTCTTATCGTCTAGTTACAAATAATCTTGACATGTCACTAGAATATGAAACCCGTGTCTTTATTATATTGTAAATACTAATTACATTACATTTATAAAGTAAAACATAGTAGGTTCATATTATTATCATGGTAAATGAAAAAAAAAAACTGTTTGAGGAAAAAAAATACACTTCAAAATCCGTTCTCTACAGATATCTTAATCTCTATGTTGAAGTCATCTTTATAATACAGTTGTTGGAATTTTACGTAGCTGTTTAAATGACGATAAGTAATTTATATCGAATCGAATAAGATTATCTATGAGTAATGACAATCTTAATATATATATATGTGTGTGTATACGTTAGACTTAATGTCTTTATAACAATTAGCGATCGTAGTGGTGTGAAGACAATAGTAATTTATAATCAAATACATAACAAAAAATTTAATATGTTTAAGATAATTAATTTCGTTTTGTTCGCAGCTATTTTAGGTAAGTTATTTTTAATATTATTTCAATCCAATATTTTTGTTTGCAAACCATAACTCAAGTTAATTGCAATCGATTATTGCATTTTTAAGTACTCAAAAATACTTACAAATTATATTAACAAATAGTACTTATTTGTACAAAATGTCTTGAATAACATTCAATGATGCACAATGCAAAATAATTAATCTTAATTTTGGCAGTTATATTAATTATTTTGGAATATTATCACCGCAAATGTGCGTAAATGAATATGCTTTACGTTACCTTATATAAAAATAAAAATACCTTTATAAAATATTATATATTATAAAATATTCACTTACAGCTGTTTGCAATTGCGACGACGAGCTCAGCAGAATGCAGCGATTAGTGAATATTAACAGATATTTTTTGTATACACGGTATGTATTTTCTATTATAGTTTGTTATTCATTTGATTATTTACCTTCTCGGCTTCTCTATTACAAAGTCATCTACATACATAAAATATAGTTACAGCAACTGTAACTGTATTTTATTTTGAAGGATGATATTACAGTTCTCGGAGGTCATAATTATTACCGATCGAAGTAACGCCTGATATTAATGGTGTTGGGCATATCTATAGGAGATGATTACCTCTATATGTAGGTATATAAGTTGATCATATTTCATGCAAATTCAATACATATAATTTTTTAAATATATTTAATAAGACTTTATTGTTATTGAATGCTCCAAAGTTATACTTTACCACAGAAAAGACCTTACATGCTGTGTTTTGTCTTTACTACTAATACCATATATATTTATTATTAAGTTGCTGGGTTCATTACATGGATACCGCTACGCAATGAACAGAGACTATGCTATCTCTAGATAATTTATTTTATTAATATATATTTATTATTGCTTTTCTTTTATGTGATATATTAAAAGCTGCCACCCCACCTCGATGGAAAGTGGTAAAAATAAATAAACAGCATCACGACCATTCTGTCGTCATGGGACATCCCTGATATGTCCCTACTATGTTGCCAATTCGAGGCACCAATGTGAAATCTTTCTATACCATGTGATTTAATTCCTTCATTAAGTTGTTGTATTCACCCTTATTATTGTGCTGTATTAAGTTTAGTTTTTTTTTGTTTCAGTGCCAATGTCCACGTACCAATAGAATTGAATAGGCTTTCACCAGATAATAATATTCAATTTAATAATCGGACTACAGTATTTTTGGTACATGGTCATGAGGGTACTGCCACTACAACTTTAAATTCCCTTGTGAAAAATGGTAAGAGAGTTGCTACTCTATCTAATTTGATGGCGAGCAGGGTGACAGCCACCTGATGGTAAGTGGCGTCACATAAACAGCACCATCCACACCATGTCATTATGTGGCATTCGTGATACTCCTCAAGTGTTGCCATTCCGGAGTTTTAAAATTATTAGTAATACTTTATAATTGTGGAAAATATGAAGGAATTAAAATGTTTTTGATTAAAAAATTATAACTAGGTATATCAGATTTGTACACGTCACAGAGTAGATATTATCGTATAAAGTTTCTTATATTATTTGCAGTATATTTTAACTAGCAACAGTCAATATCTCAATCTATCTATAATTCATTATAATTATCAATATTATCTAATCTTATTATTATTTATACTTTTTTCAACAGTCACCTAAAAATATTTTTGTTTACAATTATAGTCCTATACATTTTAAAAGTTATGAAGTGACGTAATCGTAGTTATTCTAACTGTAATTGTTAACCCAGGTAATTTTAAACTATATTAATGATTAAAATTTATAAAATGCACCGAGATAATTTTACATTCCGACATTTTCAGTATACATAATATTTAAGACCTACATACATATGTATATGCGATTTAGTATTCAGAGTATAGTGGCATAGCAGCTATGCCTTTATTCAAGGACATATACTTTCTCGCCTTTATTTCTCTAATAATAATAAATATGTATTATTTCTAAAAGAGGCACTCTACAAAATTCTTAAAACCCGGCAACAAATCGATAAGTATCAACTGCTTCTATGTACTTTCATATTACTTAGCAAATTATTTTATTTGGGTTGCGGCATCTTAGTAGTTGTTTACAATAACTATACTAGTACATAAACTGCTGATAATATGATAGCGACATAATTAAAAATAAACTTAATAAAACTAACTTAAACTGTGAACATAGTCACTTAATGTACATATTATATTACTAGGTATAATATTAAACCGATTTTGACGAAATTTCTATGGAAATCTGAAAGTATTATAATATCCTTTGAAATAAAAAAATATTTTTCAATTCGGTTTTAATTAATGACGGAGTTCTGTGATAAAAAATACAAAATGTTAGAAATGAAACTGTCTATTAATGATTAAATCTGTATTTTTCAGAATTGTTAGAATTACCTGAAGAAGTAAACGTAATCGTAGTGGACTGGTCACAGTACGCAAGCCTGTCATATTCTAATGCTGACCGTCATCTTCTAACTGTTGCTTCACATTTAGTAGATTTCCTGATTATTCAAGGTTTTAATAACAAACCTGAAACGATTCATTTGGTTGGTTTTAACCTTGGAGCACATATTGTTGGCTTAACAGGAAGATTGGGACCCAATATTGCAAGAATTACAGGTATGTACTTAATATATCTACTGTAGTATATCTTCCTACAAAATATAAACATATATATATATTTCTTTTAAATAATATGATAATATTTGAGCTATCAATAATTTAGGACATGTCGTATTCATCAATTTTTCTCTTCTAAAAAGGATGTACTACCAAGTTTTGTTTTATTTCTAATTATAGCCTTGGATCCGTCAAAGAGCAGTTATAGATTACAGAAAACAGACGCCATGTACGTTGAAGTAATCCACACTGATGGAAGTGGTATTTTGTCCAACGGTCTTGGAATACAACTAGGAGATTTAGATTTCTTCCCTAATGGTGGTAACAGTCAGCCAGGGTGTATTGCGTCAAACTCATGTGATCACAACCGTGCGTGGCAGTTCTTTGCTGCGTCACTTCGCCTTAACCAGTTTCCATCTCACTGTTGTACATCGATGACCCAAATGAAGTATAACAATTGTAGAGGAGGTGCTACTATTCCAATGGGAGGACATGGCGTTCTTCCGAAATCTGGGTAAGTATATACTAATATTATAAAGAGGAAAGATTTGATTACTTGTTTACATTGAATACTCCGAAATTACAAGACCGATTTGAAAAATTATTTAAGTGTTGGATAGAGAGAGATATAACCAATAAAATCGAAGCAACAATGAAATCTGTTTCAAAAACGAAGATACAGTACACGTTGTTGTGTAGGTCAGCTAGCATATTATATAGGCGATGTAGCAAAATCATAGCGGTCACATTTTATACTTTCCTGTATCAAGGAATAATGTAATTAATAAAATTTATGGAATCAAAATCCATTAGTTTTAGTGATATTGTTTGCTCAATAATGATAGATAAAATTATTCGATAGAATGCATCGTATGACTGTTTAACTTCTCCATTGCGCGAAGTCGCATAAACAGCAGTGGTCTTTGTAAATTGAATAGTATTTATTTTAAACTGTTATTTAAAATAACAAAATTCTAGTATATTAAAATAAATTGTATCTTTTTCAGTTGTGATAGTGGTATTCTCCGAGTCAACACTGGCCGCAGCTATCCTTATTAAAATTAACAAATAGCAGTACTTTTTATTTGTATTGTTTGCAATATACGAGTATATTGTAAATCATGAAGGTATTAAATATCACAGATGTTTCAATAACGATGTAAACATGTAAAACATCAGAAGGAGTTGTGCAGGAATAGAATCTAATCAATTTTATGAACTGAAAAATAAAGTTATTATTTTAATATTATCTATGATTATTTTATTATTTTAAAACCGAAGAATTTTCTCAATTTCAATTTAAGTACAGTTCAGTTTTGACAATTCTGAACGACATTTGTTATTTTAAATTGCTTTTGTATAGTGTATTAACGGCACATCAATATGTGACATTTATACAATTTGTGACATCTTGTCATAGTGTCATATTGCTTAGTAGGGTCAATTTGTGACATCTTGTCACGATGTCACGTGCGGCGGCTAACTTGGAGTGTTGAAGTGACATTTTGATGTATAGCTAGCTGAAGGATGCCTGACAAAGTAAGTATTTTAACTCTAATATATTAGTGCTAGTTGAAAGTATCAACTAACACTTATTTAAAAGGAAGAAAGTTTCTTTCTCGTTCTTCTAGTAATGAGATAGCTTTCGGAAAGAATAGCAGATTAATAAAATAAGTAATTACTATTCAAAACGTATTTTACTTGAATAGAGATATTCTTTTCTATTCTGACGCGTAATACTATAGTTTAATATGCCTGCAACCTGAACTATAGTAGTAGGTGCAGGGAGGATTGTAACATTGTAACTATTTGTATTGCCGACATATGTTTTACGGTCGTATTGGTCTCGTTAAAATTTTCTTTATTCAATTGCATACAAGCAGTGATGACGATGATAAGTGGTAACCGTCGCCTTTAGGTATCTAACAAAAACAGCACAACAGATATGAACTTACATGATTTTATAATGTATCGATAATGATTGTTGCAATTCAAACATGATAATAAAATAAAAATAATAATTATAACAAAAATCCGAGTAAACCAACCAACTTTATCATTATATGATAAATTTTATAATTGTTACCGAGGTGACTTTTGTACAAGGTCATTGCATTAGCTGTATTTGGGTTGTAGGGTAAAAATTTGCAACGAAATAAGTGAGTTATATTGGAGTAGGTAACTCCATGGTATAATATCCTATACTAAATGGCATTATATCCATGGTTCTTTTCATGTCTATAGACGACGATTACCACTTACCATTAGGCAGACGGTCAGATTATTTACCATTCCAATGAAGTAAAACAACTTTATATTTAAATAATAATACTAGCTTACTTTCATGCAGCAGTAGTGAAATAATATTTTCATTCATATAAGGAGATCCCATGCCCAGGAGCAGAACGTCAATTGACTTTTTTTTATAGCACAAACGAATTTGCGGCTCACCTGATGGTAAGTGATTACTGCCGTCCATGAGCACACCCGCAACACCAGGGGAATTGCAAGTGCGTTGGCGGCCATTTAAGACGAATAAGCTCTTCTCTTGAAGGTTTCAATACCGTATCGGTTCGGTAATAATGTTGTATTTTCATTATGATGATGATATGATTATTTCGGAAAGGTGATTCCACAAACTGGTTGGGCGTGGCAAAAAAATAAATATCAACTGATAGATAAAAATATAGTTCAATGACCAGTCGAATGGCATTAAATAGTAAGAAGCCCTTATAAATTAATGTGTAAACTTATCCGATACGATTAGTAGTTTTCTAGTATCATGATACTGAAGATCAACGAAGGTTAGTGACTTATAATCTTCTTAGGGTTCCGTAGACAAATTATAACTCGAAACTGTTTCAATTTGTGTTTAATTACCAAAGTAGATTTTGTACAAAGTAGTCTGTGTGGATATATCGGTTTTTGTGAGCTGTGTTTTCGGTTAAATGAAAGATATTTTAGTGAAATAAATAAAATATAGGGACAAGAACATGTAGTTCTCCGGTTACGCATGAGGGGTATCACAAACGGACACATGATGACGTGATACGCGTTGTGCTTTTCATGCATATAAGCGACTATTGGAACTTTACATCAGGTGGGCTGTATTTATCTTTGTCATTCCTTTGTCTTTGTCATTCAAGTAAATCCTTTATGGGAAAATACATTACTTAAATGCTTTGTTATATATATTATGATTGATACTAGATTGATGCACCCACTTGAGCTAACGGTTTACGCTGGCGGAGCATCAAAAGGAGCGGTCAAATAGTGACTTGACATTATGCTCATCTTATCTTACTCTACTGGTGCTCCGCCAGCGTAAACCGTTAGCTCAAGTGGGTGCATCAATCTAGTATCAATCATATAAATTCATCAAGAAATTATCATAATGGTTTCCACGTGGAGGTGGGCCTGACATAGTACATTGCTAGCAATAAGATCATCAGTCCACATTACTAACAATTCTCTTTCCTCCCGTTATGTAATATTTAAAGATGGAAACTAACTGAAAATATATAATAGCAAAAAAATATACCAGTTGAGTTTCTTGCCAGTTCTTCTCAACTGTAGTAGCTAGCCAAACTGTACGGTAGGTATAGTGATAAAAATCGCATCGCTTTGTGTGTTCTACCGAATATACAACGGACTGTGTTCTGATGAATTGTTTGACATGATGCCTACGGCTACCTTTTACCATCGCACCGCTCGCCATCGACAGGGAATTCATCCCCACACGCTGGAACCTAAGTGGTCTCGAACAGTGCGGTTTCAGAGGAGTTTCCTCCCGTACACTTAGATTGTAGAATGAACTACCTGCCGAGGTTTTCTCGAGAGACTACAGCATGGGGTTTTTCAAGAAGGGTATATTAAGGTTTCTTAAGGGTCGGCAACGCGTATGTGACACCCCTGGTGTTTCAGGCGTCCATAGGCTACGGTAACCGTTTATCATCAGATGGGCCGTATGCTTGTTTGCCACCTAAGTGGTATAAAAAAAAAATATGACGTGCACAAGTGGTCGATAGGCCTATGTGAAGAAATGATTTTGATTTGAAAAATATTCTCATCGAAAAGACATGGAATCAGTATAAATGCATAAATGTAGTATGGGCAAAATTGCAGAACAAAATATTGTAGGCGTTTTATTAATTGAATTGAAAATTGTTTCATTTTGTAATGATTAAGGATGTGATTGACAATTAAATTATAATTGGACGTTGTTGTCTAGAGAAATTGACTATTACGAATTTCATCAAAAGATTGTAAGTTAACATCTGGCAATCATCAAAAAAAATATATTGCAATTTATATTTCTAAGTAAAACAAATTTTAAAAACAAGTAAATCATAAATCATATATGATATACATAAGACGATAATATTCCCTCCTACCACGTTGGATTCATATATATCAATTTGGGTTCACCACGACAGCAACAGTTAACATTGCTTCTCTTATTCCAGATGGGGGACATCTGGAATAAGAGCCGTGAAGTTATAAGTGTGAATAGTTTCTTGTTGATGCCTGTTAAAGTACTTACCACTTTATAACCGCCAGGCTTTTTCCATTCCTGTCTCCTATAAAATATTAAAACAGTAAAATACCTACGCTTAAATGACAACCAATTTATGATATAAATTTATATTTACGTTGACTTGGTTATTTAAAATAAATATCACAAGCGTAAATCATACCTAGTTTCCAATAGTCATTTAAATAAAATAACAATTTCGATGAAATGCATTTCGGTATTTGTCGCTTCATGTCCTGAATCATTTTGTACTACGATGTACATGACATTGTATATATTTTATTTGAAATTGCATGTGTTAATTGAGTTATAAATATTGAGTTTTCATCATATATGGATGATATATGAATCATCATCAATCATCATATATGAATACATATGCAATCCATACTGTTATTATAGAAGCGAAAATTTGTTTGTCAGTCTGTCTGTTTCGTACCTTTTCATGAAATTCTTCACTTCATTGATCATTCTTTTCACAAAACTGGATTAGTCCAGTTTTGTGAAAAGAATCCCTTTAGATGGATCTTAATGAAATTTAATTTAAATATGCATTGTATCACAAGAATATGAAAAACAGATGAAGGCGTGGGAAACAATTAGTATGTAATATTATCTTATATGTGGTAAAACTATGGTACTTAATAATGATAATCCCTGTACAATTCACACAACGCCATCTAGTCCCAAGCTAAGGAGAGCTTGTGTTATAGATTCTAGATAACTGATAGAAATACTTAGATATATTATGTTGTAAATTAATACATAATACACATACATAGGGGAAAAGGGGAATCTAATCTTGTCTGTAATTTCATTATCTGAAAAACATCTCACAATCAAGCGGCTGAATTAGGTGAGACCGACTATAACAGACCAAATTTTACCAACACATGATAACGAGATGTCCAAGGTGCGGTTATATATATATATATATATAAATTATACCTATGTATAATTTACTATCAAGTGGATCCTTAGCTTATTTACCAGTCCAGTTTACAATTAAAAGTAGAAGCATATCAATTACCTTTCAACATATTCGTAATAGTAGAAAGACAGTCCCATGATTGAGCGCAATATAATTATCATATTGTATTATATCGACCAATTCTTTATTTCATAACTGCTTATTGAAGATCAGTTTAATTATTGAATTCTTAACAGTGTCATATATAAAATTTCATATATAATCAATCTACTATATAAAATTCTCATCTTACGGAGTTTATTAGAAACCTAAGTCCTCCGAAGCATTACTGATTTTTATGAAATTTTTGTGTGCATATCGGATAGGTCTGAAAATCGGCCAACATCTATTTTTCATACCCCTCAATGATAAGGATGACTCACCCCTAACCATTTATTTATTTCCTTGTCAATGTTGTTATTTTTCTTTTATAATTTTTTTAGCAATAAAAAATTTATAAGTACAACTTCAATTTATTATCCTTTTACAATGAACTCCTGTATATTACTTCACTAATTATGCTATATTATTACTTTAATAGATACGACAAAACAACGTTTGTTGGGTCAACTAGTGTACGTATAATATCAAGTATGATAAACATTAAGAACAATGACTGGAATACAATAGTTGAGAGATATTTCAATATAGCCTTCAAAGCATAACCACAAAGCAATATGAATATTTTGGTTACGTTGTTTGCAGTATTAATTAAATTGTAACAGTTCGGATGCAACTTTACAGATAGTAAATACCGAAACTGTTCATTGGCTTACACTAATCTATACTTTTTAATACAAAATATTAATGAAAATGCTAAACACCAAATCGGTACATTTATTTCAATGCATAATAAAAAAGAAACAAATATTATAAAATTGTTTAATAACAAAAACTTACAGTATAACCTGATCATAGGATAGTGAAGGAAATGGCAATGGCAACATTCTATAATCATTTATATTCTTAATTACTAATAACGCCGTGTTTACATTATTTGTTACAAATTTTATAAACCAAAAGTATTAAAATTATATAAATTAAGATAATGATAAAAATCTATAAAATTTAAGAAATTACATTCTTAAGTTATACTTTTCAAATATTCAAACGGAATGTTCGGTGGTTTGTGTTATTTTTAATTAGTATTTATTATCCTTAATCCTAGACTTTGTAAAATCCTGTAATAACACTAGAGCAGTTGGTTGAAATGTTATATGCATAACCAAACACTGATCTTCACTGCTATGCATTTATTGATGGATGTTAGACTTCACAAATGTGGTATATTTTTAAACTAAGTCCAACTAGCACACTGTAGCTGTCTTCCAAATATAACAAGGGATCAGCTTTTCTACATACTCTACTAGTGAAAAATGTGGCTTTCAGTCTATATGTTCAGTTTTCAGACTAAAAGGTTGAAAGGATTTATTCAGATTTGACATGAAGAAAGTTGTATATCAAAAAGTAACGTAAATAACGTGTAACTGTTAGAATATAATAATACATATTATTAAATTTACAATCGTTCATTTTTTTATATAAGTAGTTTAGTTAATTCAAGTAATGAGAATGAATACTAGAATAACATTGTTCCATATATACATAGTGAGAATTAAAAGCTTCCGACAACTAGGGGACTAAATGTAATTAAATTTATGCACCATAGAAAAGTCGAGATATATGTCGTCTTGTATGATGTTTCTTTGTGACAGGACGTATGGACTCTGAAAGTCGGGACGTAGTATGCAATTTTGTAGACCTAGCGAGATCAGTCTTACCCCAAATCATATCATTGATAAACCACTGACAAGTATAATAAAAACTATTTTCTAGAAACACAAAGAACATTAATAATAATAGCTTGAAGGGACTTAGCACCTTGAGAACTGGATAGACGTACTCTTCGTTGAAGACGCAGTTTAGACACCTGATGACAAAATAATAAAATAAAAACATAATAATATGTTGACACGCAAGTTTCAATAAACTAATCGATATACTAAAATTATTTAAGTAAACAACTAAAAAAATTTAGACTGTCTGAGCTTTAGATATTGTTAATTTTTATTTCTCACATGTGAAAATACGAACTTCTAACGAGTCGACTAACAAACTACAAAGTGTACCTAATAGCAAATAATAAATACAAAACTGATGGTTATCTGTGTCGCGTTTATCACAATAATATACGCACAAATGCAGATATATTCTTTAATCTAAGCAAATATTTTCCTGGTATACTTGATTTAATGTTCACGCACATAAAACATTGCATCTCAAATTGATCAAGATTTTAATTCTTGAACTGGATTTAGTAAGCGATTCAATTCAATTCATAGTATTTTATTGTTTATTTCTTCATCTATGTATTTGTTACTCGAAATTCTGAGTTAGTATATATATTACAAATAGTCATTTTGCAATTTTAAGTCGGCATTGCAAATATGCTGCGAATCACCTAAAGGAAATAAATTAGGAGTGGTGTCAAATTGGCCATTAATCATTAAATCCACAAAATTAATACACCCATCCCACATGTGAATTGTCACCTTTGATTCCATACCTATTATTGTTACGTCCTATGTCAGAGATTGCACTGATTCATTAATAACCTTACATTATTGTTTTAGGCTATAATTTACAGGACTATGTTCGCATTCATGACAATTTTAAATGAAATGAATGAATTTTATACGGACACAGTAGAATGGAATAAGACCCAAGTTATTCCATTCTGCTGTGTCCGTATAAAATTCATAGTATAAGCGACCACTCAAACACTAGAACGCGTATATTGTGAATACTTTATGGGGGAAATATATAAATTAAGACAGGAAAAACTGCTCCTTAAAGGAACTAACTTCTCCTAAAGATAATCCCTTTAAGATTTAGGTGTAATAAGATTCAAGTGGAAAAAAATATGCAAATCATCCAATTCTTTTCCGTTTTATCATCACTCGGCTAAGAAAAGATTGCTGTCAGCACATTTGTCTATCTTTTTCATTAGTTCATATGAGATGATGCTCGTTTTCTTTATTTATAAGTACTCAGTTGTTCAAGGTTCATTAAAACGCTTAATATTTGAAGAGTTACGAGTATGTAAACAGATTTTATTTGTTGTAAATCTTATGAAGAATCAAATGAAGAATCTTTAAAAGTTACAACGAGTTGATAGAATGGCAGGCAGTCTGATAAAGTAGGTGATAATATTATTAATTCCTTCATTTTAATTATGTTGTTGTAGTTGCCGAACCCTTGGCAAGTTTCGAAAAAATCATATTATTATTTCATTCTATTTCAAGGTTACAGCCAAGCAAGATCAATAGTGAATAGAGGTAATAGTTGTGTTTTTTTATTATTATAGTTACCATATTTATAGCTAATACAAACACTGACATCTTTGTTATTTATTTTTTATGTGTATCTTGTAATTTTCGCTTATATTATTATGACACAACAAAAACATCAATATCTAACTTCGTAACAGGTCAAATCTATTTGGTAATTCACTTTATGGAATAAAACCCAAATGGGTTAACCAAATGGAATTTATCGACTACTAATATATTAGTAAATACACCTAGTATCGAATTATCCTTGTTCATAAATTTAAGTTAATATGTACTTGTACACCGATATAGACTTTGTAAAAAGTCGTCAACGCAAATACCTCAGTCTCATGTAGTTTAGACTTTAAATAAAGACCAAGTAGCTTACTTCAAAAGTTCGGTTGTAAGGTAGGGTAAAGTAGTGAAGTTACAAGATAGAAGACGTCTTAGTACTCCAAAAACATGAGTGATCACATAATAACGTGATGTCTGTAATGCTGTTTATGCATATAGGTGGCGATTATCACTTATACACAACTGTAAGTTAAGCTCCGCAAAAATAATAATTTCAATACTAGTATTTGGGCAGGCAAATGTATAATTAGACGTTATTAATATATTCTTACACGAATTAGATTAGACAGATAGAACTAGACTATCGTATGATTCGAAATACTGTTCAAAATTGAAATCTATTTTTAAAATAACTCCTTATAGTTTTTTTATGTAATCGACATACCATCAATATAGTTTAACATGGGAAAAATCGTGACGGTTCGCTAGTCCATTGTACATTAATAGATACTTATATACAAACAGCTAACTCTTTATTTGTCTATAAACTTTAGCGCTGTAGCCCTAATAGAATAAACTAATTCCTAACGTGCAATTTGGGAAAACACGGACCAAAGACCCCCGGGCCTAACTGTTGTGCTATCGGGACTCGGAACCCCTGCAAAACGAAATACTATTGTCATGATTTCTTAAAATTAGCTTAAACAGGATATAAGGATATAAATAAAATTTAATTCAAAAGTAGATTTGGTAAATATACTTATAATACTTTGTACCAGACTTCACGAAGGCGGTGCCGCGAAATAAGTTTAAGTTAAATATACTAATGTGAATGTTAATGTAATCTAAACTGAACACCATTAAATTGTATGGTGCGAAAAGTTAATTAATTGTCTTTAACAAAAATAATTACCAATTTAAAAGATATAACTTACGTAATTAAGTAAGCTCCAAGAAATATGAACAGCGGTATTAGGCCATGTAACAGATTGTCCGGACGCTTCCTGGGTACGAGTATTAGGTCTAGTACGACAAAAATTAGAGATACTGTATGCATACAGTGCTGTGTCCAGACGGGTACGAGAATGTCAACAGCTGTAGGTGCGACTAATTCTCGATTTTTATTCCAAAGCCGCCAAAATAATATATCTGCAAACTGTAACAAAAATACCATTTCAATCGAATTAATTATATAATACAATAACTTGAAAAAACGATATATATTTATAAATATAATGGTAATGTTACTAAACTTCCTGCAATTTTGAAACCTTTCAAATAAAGCAATTACGCTGATGTTGCGGGTGCTTAAGAGTGGCGGTAGTCATTTACCATCAGGTGATTTGTAAAAATAAGAATTAAAAATTACGTCCATAGGAGACAAAAATATCCTATATGAAATATTTACTATTTTGCATTTGGAATTTATAATACAGAATTTAGAATTCTAAATAATCATTAAAAGCTATGCAAGTTCCTTGAAGAATAATAATCAAGATTACATAAACCTCGATTCTTATTCTTTTTGAATTTATAAAAACGATTTTTTCTTACAGATTTAGGTATCTTGAAAATATAGTAGTATAATTGTTATATTATATTATTATAAAAAAAAATTAAAAAAATTTCACCACTAAAACGATGACAGAGATTTCACATTAGTCATATTTCATAATGACTTCCGTAAATGGCGTCTACATTAGGAAGAGTAATATTTAAGCTATTTCAGTAGCTTTTGCTAGTTAGTCGACCCGTTTCGTTATTTAATATTTGTTTACTTGATTTTTATTTCAATTAACTTTAAGGTCATAAGTATGTTGTCGATACTGATTTATATTAAAGAACTAGCTTACCCCGTGACTTCGTCTGCGTGGAATTTAACTTTATTTTTCTAAAATAAAAATAGCGTAAGTTACTCGTTATTACATCAGCTACCTGCCAAAAAGTCCCGTTAAAATAGGTTCAGCCATATCAGAGATTAGCCGAAACAAACAGACGGACAGACAAAAATTGAAAAATAATGTTATTTTGGTGTATGTACTGTATTTATATTCATAAGCATATAATAAAAAACAGTTATTTCAATGTTACAAATAGACACTAAAATTTTATTTATATGTATATATATATAAAGCATAGAAACGTAGAAAAATACATTTATTTAGTGTTATAAACTCACGTCGTTTCAATACCAAACCGCTTAACTAATATTCTCTTATGAGAACAGACGAAACGAATGTAATGTAATATCAGTGGGTAGTTATGGTATTGTGGTACTGTATTATTTAAACCTACTGAAATACTATAAACGAGGTGCAGTTTACGTGCATAAAATTGAATGTCAATTTCTTTTGTTAGGTGATTCCTCTTCTTATTCGGAACGCTCTTGACAGAAGTGTCGTGGTCATTGTGTAGTAGAGTGAGAGGCAGATGTCATCCGCCTTACCACAGCTCGCCATTTCACCCTACTGTCTGCTATTCTAGTTCAGTCGTGGAGTGCACCGTTGTTAGACGATACAGCATGAGAAATATATATTTCAAATAATAAATGATGGTATATCCCTCATGACATATCTGATAATTACAACGTTTATATATTAGGTAATATGTAAATTATTACGATAGATTTATAACAAAAAATGTAAACGAATTTGTGTCTCTGAACTTTTATTATACTACTATATACATGAATGTTGTTGTTACGATGTCTGTTACCCATTTACTTTTAAACGACATACGGTTCGTCGTCATATTATATTTATACATAAGGATACCTATTCTACCGAATATACCAGAAACAGGGAGTAAAAATGATGCACTCTATTTAACAGACTATGAAATAAAGTGAGTCAAACCGTCTGACTGCCTATTTATTTTTTACGTTTTCAACGACTAAACGCTTGAAAGTTTTGACATGAAAATTGACTGTAGGTACTAGGAAAACGACGACGAGGACTAAGTTATGTGTTAAAAAAATAACTGGGGTACGATGACATAGGGGATAATGGTTTGTACAGACGAAGTCAAATGACGAAGCGAGTAAAAGCTAATAAAATGTATGGACTCAAAACTTAATAAGCTTATTTTTTAATCTTTCACATTTAGTATACGTTGTTGGTATAGTTAAACAGGTTTCTAACACGAATAATCCTAGGTAAATAAAGTTATTTACCTCTCTCAACGTTTCGTATAGATTGCATTAGCAGAAGTCACGAGCTGATTGAAGTAACAGCGATGTTAATGTCGACATGTTGTATCCACAGTTGCTTTCTCATAACAGTGTTGATAGCAGTTTATTCAACTAGCGTGACTGGATTGTGTCGTGATTTTTCGTTGAACAATGTAGTGCTAGTAGTTGAATAAACTGCTGGTAACTATCAGCACTGTTATGAGAAAGCAACAGTGAATACAACTCCTAGACCCCAAGTCTGTATATTCTGGATTATGATAATAATAATAATAATAAACCAGGACAATTCACACTGCGCCATGGAAGCGACGAGGATTATTATAATAACCCCGTTGCTAGCAATGCACCACGTCAAGTTGATCTCCACGTGGTCCATGATAGAAACCAGCGTGATAAATTCATGGTGAAGTTACCACGATGGCCTAAGTGACCTGTCCTCATGCATATCTTATCATTCTCCACTGGTGCCCCCTTCCATTATCATTCATAAGAAATCCCAATTTAAGTAGAGGTTGTGCTACAAATATGTATTTACAATTTTTTGTAAATACTTATGTAAGATAGATAAAAAAATACCTTGATGAATACAAACTACCATACTCATGAATATAAATATTTGTACGGTGCCAGTAATCGAAACCGCGACCATCAGAAGTAAGGCGGTTTGCTAAACCGCTAGACCATCGAGGACATGAAGCTAATATAACTAGCGACAAACACATAAATGAACAAATAATAAAATGCATGTCGTACATGTATGTACGTGCAATAAACAAAACAATGCTTATTTAATATCAATGAACATGTTTAATTGTTATTCTACAGTTTTATGCACTATTATTATAATTTACACACACATACATACATACATACGAAGTATAATACCATATGTTCTTTTTTATGGAATTCACTGTCTATAGACGATGTATTAGACTATATACTTTTATTCTTGTATTTGTATAGGTCAAAAGTAACTTTAAATCCCAAATTTGATTATAAATAATCAGAGAATTCGTAACTCTATAACTTCTTTGTTTGTGAACCAATTTGAATAAATTGTAAATAAAACTTACTACACTATTTTAGTACCACCGAATTCACTCCGGTTAATCTATTTCTTAAATTAATACGCGCAAACTTAAAGACAAAACTTCTAAATAATATTGTTTTGGGTTTTATTAAATTAATAATGTCCCGATTTTCTCGACTATCTTCCATATATAGACAGCGATTCAATCATATTTTTATTATATGTATATATTTAAACAGACGTAGGTACTTACGTATGTAACTACGTTTAGGATTTTGTCAGCTCTCATTTGTTAGTCTAAATTATAATAATTTATAAAATATTTGCTCTTGTTTACAATTTAGAGTTTTGGATAATTTTAAGATATCGCTACGATAAGAGCAATCAAGGACAAAGCGCTGAGTTCTAAACCTATCGGACACACCTGAAGCCACAATCAGTAAACCCTAAAATATTGAAATATTACAGCTATTTTGTTCGCAATTCTTTTATGTAATTACTCATTCCGATTATTTAATCAAATATATATAAGAAGGTTAGGAACTTTGTAACAGCTGGGACCCTATCACATATAGTCCAACATTACCAACGTATATGAGACTCTAATATAAAGTTAACTGTATGAAGCTGAAACAGGTGACGGTAACTGCAAATAATTTGCGAAACTCCTAACATGCTTGCACATCCCGCATCTTCACAGATAAATATCATAACAACCCATTATCATTCTACCGGTACCCGTCTATGCTTAGCAAGAAAAATTCACCCTAGTATTACCATGGGCATACAATTACCTTGGTATAGAGCGATGTTTCCCAATTAGTGGTACGCGTACCCCTAGGCGTACGTAAAGTTGTATCAAGAGGTACGTGCGGCTATCAGTAAAATAAACATACTCACAAACTTTCACATTTATAATATTAGTGTGATTGCTACAATAAGGGGTACGCGATGTTTGAGGTGTTTTTTGAAATGGTACGCAGCAAAAATGAATTGGGAACCACTGGTATAGAGTTATATCTATATTTTATATATTTGACGGCGTCGGTGGTCTAGTGTTTTAGCACACCGCTTTATATCCAATGGTCGCGGGATCGATTCCTCGCACGGTATACATATTTGTATATATGAGTATGATTGATTATATCGGTTTGGGGTTTTCTATGTATGTTAGGTATGTATTTATAAAAAAAATATCAAAGTATATATCATATCAGTTGTCTAGTATCCTTAACACAAGTTCTGATTACCGTGTGACTAGATGGCGCTGTGTTAATTGTTCAAGCGTATTTATTATTATTTATTATTAATCTATTATACGAAAAGCAAAGTTGGAAGAAGTTAACATAAGTACATATACATATGTATCTATAAAATCAAATTAAGTTTGTACCAGCAAATATCTGAAGTCTCGGACAAAACTTTGGATTTGTCATTTTATATTAGTCCTGAACCACCCGCTTCTAATTGACTCCCTGTAATATGTACAACTAAAAGTCGTCGTCTTGTCTAGTCTCTTGTACAATCTTTTCACAATGCATACCTACTGCAGCTTATAACACATAGTATATTGCTATTCTTACAACACTGGTACTTACTTAACTTCTTATAATAAAAGGAGGATCTATCATTAGATACCAGGTCTTTTGCCAAGCGGTTTGTTATACAATTGCAATTCAAGTTTTCTTTTAGTTTATTTATATATTTTTCATTCATCATTGTATATTTATATACCGTACCCTTAGCTTCCTTTTGCGAATCTTGGGTATATTGAATGCTGATGCATCATTGTATGTTTATTTACGTAAGTACAAAATCTTACGTGTGTTGATAGATAACTATGTCAGTCACCTTTGAGTTATATATATTTAGATATTATATTGTACATCAAATCAAAATCAAACTTTATATACCACAAAATATGGTTACTATTTTAAAGGGAACATTAGCCTCAAATGCTATTTCTACACAAAAAACATTAGAGCACTCTTAGTTTAAAACAGTGTTTTCCAAACTTTTTAGTACCATGCCCCACCTTAGCCTTTTTTAAAATCTTTAACAGCCCCCGAAAGAAATATCACTAGGAAATTGATAAAAAAAATTAAAACGGTATAATAAAAATTGAAATTCACTTTCCATATAATTTTTATAAAGAGCATTGCCCCACCTTCCTTTAACAATCAAATCTATGGGGCGTGGGCCCCACGTTGGAAAACACTGGTCCAAAACATTGTAATAAACTGTTGTTTGTAAACAGCTATTTATCTACATATACACTTACGGCAGTAGTCGGAAGCAGTATGCTGGTGAAACATATAAATCGAACTTGATTAAGTACTTTAACGTGGCGCTGGTCAGCTTCACCGTTCAGTGCTCGCCAATCACAATAAATACATGCTGGTAGGTATCCCATTGTTAAGAACTGTGATCAATATTAGCATTAATTTTATATTTCAGTTAAACCAAAAGACAAAATAAACCATACATGTCACTAATATATATAAAAAATAAGAAATTAAAAAAATATAAATCCAACAAAATCAAATATATATAATATTCATAGTAATAGACAATATCGTCAAAATAAAAGAAAATTAATATTAGAATATTAAAAATATTTATAATTTAACTCAAATCAAAAATACAAATAATTTGCAAAATAAAATACATAAAAGTTACACATTTATAGGCCGTTTTATTTTATGATGCACGATTATTTTACTACTATACATTATTAATATTTATCAATTCCATTTAAGGTGACACTTGAATGAAACATAAAAATAGATGCATTTCTACTTACATTGAACCATGACGTAATGAATTTCCATCTGTATTGCTGATATGGCCACAATGTCGGATCCGCAGCTTCACTAAAGTTTATGTTTAATAACTTGAATGTCATGACAACTAAATGAATTAATGCTAGACTATATATCCACAACCTTAATATGATTACTTTATTATTTCTTATACATTTTTTCGACACTTCATTAGAATTAAACAATCTCGGAATACGGCTCATCTTACAGGATAACCGTATCGTTTGTAAGGTACACGAATAATGATCTTAAACACTTACCTGGTGCTGTGTTAAATATTGCAAAACAAATTAGACGCTCCAAACATAACTGACGTAATACAAACTTGACAATACTCATTGACTTAGAGACAGACATCAAAAAAAAATCTATGTCTATTTTTTGGTATTTACCAAAAAATAGATATTGATATTTTTACATATTAAAATTTTTAATATATTAATGGTAATAATCGGTATAAACTACAGTAGTGAAATTAAGCGGTATTGAGACATGACTCCTCAGTCCTCATCAATAGCAACGCTTTAAGAATGTCACTAATTTCAACACACGTTGAAATTATGACGTTATAAGGTACCACTCATTTTGCATACAAAATTTCCATTAATTGGGCGTCAGATTATTTGCAATTCCAGTTACATAAAAAAGACAAATATTCTATATACCTGACGACATTGAGATCTAAAACAAGATTACAAAACTAAAAGTTGCCTTACGCATATTATATTTAATACAACTCATAATGATAATATTATGATTAACATAAAAAAAGAAATTTAGTTGAGTTTCTTGCCAGTTCTCCTCAATTGAATCTGGCATATTAATACAAAAATATTTTTTTTACACAGGGAACATTCTCATGGAGACCCGCCCGCCCGAGGAGAGGTAAATGGGTACTGCCGAAAACCCCAAGGTGTTCCTTCTCTTAAACTTTTGTCAGAGTTACGTTACGGAAGTGCGCAAGCAATCTTCTGCAACCCAGAAATATATATATATATATATATATATATATATATATAATTATACAGGTCAATATTAGAGCAGTATATCTCAACCCCAAATAATAAAATACAACGGCAAGACACCGATAATTATTATTTACTTACATAAACTGTATAATATTCATCGTCTAATTCTTACTATAAGGAGTGTTTAGTGCCACGTAGACAGAGCCGAAGTTAATAGTGTAGAAGAATAAATTTGTGGCCTATTTTTGTCTTGGACAGGTAACTTATGAGCATTATCCATTTGACCAATTAACTTATAAATATATACCAACTACGCAATCGGTACAGTTCTAATATTTCCATAGACGATTCAAATATAAGCGTAAAATTTATAATATAAATTTTATCCTTTTTTATTTATATTTATGGTCATTACACAAATTTGTTTAAACGAGTCTTTTTTATTTGTATAAATAATTTTGGTGCAGTTCAAATTGAAAATTATACATTGTTATGCGTAAAGACCCAAGCCCCTGGTTCACAAATATGTCTTCTGTTGTATTTATTGAGGTTCAATATGTACATGAGGTGCATACAAATTTTAATTAAGCGATAGTTCACAAAGGTCGGTCTTCCTTATTTCATTCGTTGTATGGAGGAAATATACAAGTAGGTGCAGCGGAAATAGGTACTCGTACATTGAGTATTAAATATTTATTTACTACATACAAGAAAAGCTTTTATGCTGTGTGTTGACACCTGCAACCAATTTAATATAAATTTATCTAAATAAGTATAACCCTTTAGATAAGATAGATTTTTCATAGATAAGAAATAAAGTAGTTATAATATTTTTTACATTTAAAGTGGAAAAATTATCCTTTGTCTATAGATATATATATACATATAACCCAAAAAAATATTTATCATATGTTATAAACACTGAAATTCCTAGTTCGAAATGGAAAAATCTTTTAGAACTGCACAGCCCATTTATCCAGGAAGGCTATAGTTTAAATAACGTCACGCATATACGACTAATAAACAAAAAGGAGCTGAGGATCGATGAAAAATGTTACAAATCTAGGAAAAAGTGACGCAAACGAAGTAGTGCGATTTCCCTAGTATATTAAGCAGTAATATATCACTAGCTGTAATTCACGGGTTTGTCCATTTATTTAAAAACTAGCAAATATACATTCACATGAAATAGGTAGGTTAGTGGGATTCCCTAACAACTCACTTATTTGCTCTTGCCAAATATTGAATAAATGTAAAAATACACTGACAATTGGTCGTCATAAGGTATAGTATCATCTACCTATTCGCACATTCATTCTACGAAGCAAAATATTGCAAATTGTTATTATAAATGTTTCTTGTCATATCTTAATACTGGATAATATGATAGCTTCCAAAAAATCTCTGAATGATAATCATAATATGTACTTTTAAAGTTCATGATCGTGAGTCGCACTAAACAGACATTTGTATACATGAATATGATTGTTCGTATTTATCTGAGCTTTTTCTATATATAATATAGATGTATCTATAAAAAATGTATTTAAATATCACCAGTTGATTAGTACTCATTATACAAGTAATGATTCGCTTGGGTTTAGGTGGCGCTATGTGAATTATCCTCAGGTATTGTATTTATAACATATATAAGTACTATTCTCTTATCTATTCCAACTTAGTAAATATATTATTATTGTAGTGCTGTATTATTTTTCTTTGCAAAGTTATTTATCGTGTGTCTATATCATGCGTGTATGGTACAGCTTATACAAATAATCATACAACACAGCATAGCTAAACGTTTATCTAAAAGTACTGGATAATCAGAAAAATAAATACATAGATATTTAGTCGAGGATTATTATGATAGGTGCTAATGTATTTATTCCTGTTTTCTTATAAATTTTTGTCAATACTTTAAATTATCACGAATTATTCAAAATGAAATAATAGCCACCTATTTCTTACTTTTCTTTTTTACTCTTACTCATACATAAAGGAAAATAATGTGTATGTACCTAGATTTTGAATAAAAAGTATATTACATTTATCCGTTTAAAACAATATTTTTTTCAAATGGCATTCTCAATTATTAAAAATATCGTACAATATTAACTTCACATATACAGAATTGAGAATCCCTTCCTTCCTGAAGTCGGTTGAAAAGGTAAATAGAGCAGAAAAAACTACGATAAGCAAGATTTTCTTTTGTTTGGGCACGGACTGTGCAGAAAAGAAAGTTGCAAAGCTGTGTACTACTTTAAGCACCTATCCAGCGACATTTTTACTTTACTTTTCAAGCTCCAGGCACTATTTTAGACTACAGTCTCGCCAAAGAGACAAAAAAAGTAATATTACTGACAAACTTCTCTTCATCTGTAAAGAAATGGTAATTTGCAGGAATAACACAAATCTGTAAGTAGGTAATGTATACCTACATACCTATATTATATAAAATTAATTATCTGTAACAAAAACTGAAACTGAAAACCCCTGAAACAAATAAATTATTAATTTGTATTTTTCTTGTTACATTTTTATGTTAATATTAAAAGTAGATACCGTCAAAAATAAAACAAAAGAATGATGAACGAAACTGGTACAAAAGGCAGTATTATCGCTAATACAATATCTTTCAGACAAATTTAGGAAAGAGAGTATTTATACCTTTAACCGAAACATAATTTACAAAGCAAGCTGTTTGTTACTGAAATAGGTAGACAGACCTCTCAGACTGATCTCCATCCACGAGAATGACTTTGTACAAAGCCTACCTCAGTATACCTTTAGATCTTTGACCTTCCTCATCTCAAGTTAATGAACCAATCTACGTGACGATTGCTATATTTACATATTCAATCAGGAGGTCAACGGACACACATTAATTTCTAAACTTGTAATTTCTTTAAACTGTTTGTTCAGTTGACATAACAATAACGGTCTACTACCGAGAGATTGATTTCTAAAACGTTTAACATAGTATTTATACGTGTTGGCGAGACTAACAACACAAGGAGACTAATACCAAATATATATAGTATATAATGAAAAAGTAATTTGGTATTTACAAATATAGACTTCTAATATAACTGATAATTATATCCCAAATACAAATATGTTCTTGTTCAACATATTGGTACTTCTGCATTATTTTTGTTTTAAACAATGACTGCAACTGTCGAGTTAATGTTATAAGTATTACTAAACACAGCGCCGCTTGCTTTTCGGTTCTACCGGCGGCTTAAATGAATTGCTATTATCACATCATTAGGCGTTTAATATATAACTATGGACCATATACTAAGCACCTACCCATACACTTATATTATTACATTATATGCCTCCCTACATTAACAATAATACAATTAAGTATTCAAATCATATTAATTAACTACTTATATATATCTGTATAGCCTTTATACCTATTTAGTTTTTACATTTTCGCAAGATGGTGCGTTCTCTCGCGCCGACCCTATAGTTCCACTTCTCCTGGAAATTTCTAATCCTTCCATGTATATTAAGCGAAATAGAAAATTAAAAATATTTTTGCCATCTATAGATATACTAGCAAAGTATTAAAATTCTACTATACAATAAGTTCCCCAATTAACCGGTAGATGTCGCTGAATGTACTTATTATTTTTTTTGTTATTTTAATTATACTTATTTTCGTAGATAATTATTTAGCGTATTATAATTAATACTTATATACACATTAAATATATATATTAAAATATTAATGAATATGATACAGAAAGTGAACCGTTTCTATTAGGTCTCTTAAATTAATACGACAGTAATTACAGGAAACAAGCTACCCACCCCGGCTTGTCACGGGTAGGTACATCCGTCTCCTACTCAAGAAGAAAATTGAATATGAAATCTTCTCTTTACATATATGTATATGTATTAACATGTAGACATAGCTAAAGCAATATAAAATACTAAAGAACTAACCGTCAACCAATGTCAATATTTTTATACGATTTTTCAAAAATTCTCTTTCATATCAAATAAAAAAATTAGACAAATAGGTATATACGTTCTCAAGAGATGCGTCTAATAGCGTTACAGATGTTTTAATATTGGCTGAACGGAACACACGATCATGAATCTTAACGGGATTTCTTTATTTCACTGCAAATAAATGTAACTGCATGTTTTAACTACTAGAACTTATTTAAGTTCTCGCACCTATTCCATCCGTCCCATCGTTCCGTATAGATTTTCGTAAAAACGGGACATATCATGTCCAGCTGGGACTGGGATTGAAATTTGTTATATAGGTGAAATGGACGTCCTATGATATCGACGATTACCAACGGATACATAACAGATAAGATAATATTATATGCATTCTTTTTTTCTTTACAGGTACAGCATTAAAGTGTACGGTCCTCGAAGATATGCTTTTTGTAGTCGATTTTTATATATTTACTAGCTGACCCCGCAAACATTGTTTCGTCATATAAATTAAAATAGCTATTATAAAAAAGGGATCGGTGATAGAAGATTGAAAATTTAGGATTTTATGTAATTTTTAATGAAAATAAAAAGAAATTGTACAAATAATTAAAAATAATTGTTTGTGGTTGACAACCTTTATAATTTAGTGGTGTGAAAAATAGACAGTAGCAGATTCTCAAACATACTGAATATGCATATAAAATTTCATAAAAGTCGGCCAAGCCGTTTCGGAGGAGTATGGTAACTAACTTTGTGACACGAGAATTTTATATATTAGATTGGGAATATCTGCGGCTAATATCTTGAGTTCTGTTATTTATCATTACATTACTGGGTTCTTAGGGATAGTAAATAATAGAGCTAAAGAATACCGCAAATGCACCAGCAGATGTTTACTACATCTGTTGGTACTTTCGCACATCTGTTTCAGTTTTTAATTTGTTGCGTTGCACTTCATCGTAGATATAATATTGATATGCTGTATATATGTACATGGATATAGTCTCTGAACACGTAAGACGTAAGAAAAATATATGAAAAACTAAAACAATTACTTGTGTTATGTTATCTGTAAATAGAAAAATAAAATTACTAGGTACAATATAACAATAACAAAAATTATAATACATGTTAATAAATTATTCCCTATTATTGCGCAGTTGCAAAGGAAGTTTTTAAAGAAACCTTTGCTAATAATATAATTATAAATATGAAAATAAGTAACTTTGTTGATATCATAATATTAAAAACAGATAATTTGTGATAGAGAACTATATAGGTTACATTAATCAAATAACATATACATAGGTCAAATAAACAAATTCAGCACGTAATTTGGTAATCACATAAGCATACTAATATAAAGAACGCGAAAGTTTGTGAGTATGAATGTATATATAAATGGATGGATATTTATGACTCTTTTACGCAAAAACTACTGAACGGATTTTGATGAAACTTTAGAGTGATTTAGCATATACTAACTAACATACTAGCTTATATATGACTATCACATTCTAAATTTGAATTTTCATGGGAGTGAAATCGCCGGCACAGCTTGTGACCTATAAAAATAGAAAAATAAAATTACCTATATACAATATCAAATATTACGACAAATATTTATAAATTATTCCCTATATACCAACCTATTACGCGGCTGATAAGGAAGATTTTAAAAATATCTTTGCTAATATTATAAATATGAATATGAGTAACTTTGCTGATAATATTTATCGCAAGAAGGGAAGGGCCTGTTACAAAGTAAGGCTCCATAATCCAATGCCCCGTTGCTATCAATGTACCATCTCGACGCCTACGATAGCTGGACCATCCTGCTTAATTTCTGAACTGAGATAACTTCATCCTATCATCCTTTACTACTACCCCGCCAGCGCCTCCCAGCGCTGCACTGCACCTGCACCAGTTCATCCATAAAAAAATTCATAACACATTTCTAATTATGTAAAACTAATGCAGCAATGGAACACACAAGTACCTATCAGTGCGCTTTCAAAACGACTCGCTTCATCAACTTCCCTACTCTTTTTTTAAACCAACTCCATAGATCGACATTGCAATGAACTGGTTCGTAAATCATATCTACTCTTTGAATTGTACTCTACGTAGGAACGTATTAACGCGTTCGTATACGTATATATATATCGTGTTCATTGTATTAACTAAACGGTAATGTAATCAATTTATTCGATTTACTCTCGATTGCATTTCAAAAGAGCAACACATCCAATCCACATGATGATTGATATTGAGATGAAACTTAGTACATTTGTCTGACCACATTTATATTTTTTTGTGATATTGTAATGAATTAACCCTAGGTGATAAGTGTTGTCCACCCCTAACATTTATTTTGTATTTTTAGGCAATATTTATTTTTTTTTAAAAATTACATACTATCCAAAATTTTCAACATTCTTCTATCAACAAAAAGTTTTCCCTATTTTTTAATAGCGATTTTAATTTATATGGCAAAACAACGTTTGCGGGGTTCGGTAATATAGTTGATACAAAAACCTAAACCTCATACCATCAGGTGACCCGTCAGCTCGTTTGTCATTCCAATAGCATAAAAAATAAACATATTGATTTTTATATAAACTACAAATTCTATACGAACTTTTCTGTCAAAATTTTCTGTTCTATATTTATTTATTAGAACGATGTGTCCTTTATTATAATTTGCCAACAAAGCGTGAAATACATATTGGCAAGATAAAGCTTTATTGTATTATTGTATTATCGCTCATGCCTAACATATACATTATCATGTTATCTAATATAAGTAGTACCAATTATCTACTACTCTGAATCTTACTACAACAAAATTGTATTTTTTTAGTATTTAATTCAGTAATCAATACTTTTATACTATATTATAAATGCGAAAGCTTATCTTTGTTATCTTTCCACTAATCATAGCAACCGCAAACACCTATATTTTACATTTATGTTATGTATTATGTGTGTATATGATTATACATATGTCACGGTCTATTATAATGTTTTATACCTCGACCTCTTCTCAGTTCTAAGGTTGTATGGAAGATCACTATTTAGACATAAGGCCAGGCTTTGTTACCTCTTTGCCTTGTTTATTATAAGAATATTTAGTTATCTTATTTGCATAGCTGTTTATGTAACAATACTTTTTAGGAAAAAAAATTAAGAATAAAGTAGGTACAATGTCATACCTACTTTCTTCTTAATTTGCAAATAAAAAGTTTTTTGCTTTATTTTACATATTCAAAAAGATTTGGTTTTTATCAAATCATTAAAACATAAATCCGTATTGATGTTACCAGGGACTGCCTTTTCGTTCAACATTATAACAGACAACTTATGTTTATCCTCATAATACAATCAATCTTCAGGTAAAATTTCATTGTTTAGTAGTAAAAAGGTAACAAACAGACAAATGAACTAATATTTTTGCACTTACAATATTATACGAAACTAGCTGTCCCGGCAAACGTTGTTTTGCCTTAAAATAAAAAAAAAATTTAGAGGTGGACTACCCCTAACATTTAGGGGGATGAAAAATAGATGTTGGCCGATTCTCAGACCTACTCAATACGCTCACAAAATTTCATGAGAATCGGTCAAGCCGTTTCGGAGGAGTATGGGAACGAAAACTGTGACACGAGAATTTTATATATAAGATAGTATGGAATGTGGAAATGTGTATATAAGTGTGGAATTATTGACATGTGGTCATTTTATTTGCAAGATAATTATATTGGAACTTGTATGTTTCTCAAGTTCAAAACTAATCGTAATATTTATGTATATTCTTATTGCACACCTAATGGCATAGGAACAATATTTACATTTTCTGTAGGTTTTATATAAATTTATACGCACTTATTTTATTTTATATGTATGCTAGTCTGTAAGGTAGATATTTATGTATAATATGGGCAAAATTTTGCTAAACAAATAAAATTATGATGCCTGAATTAAAATTTAAAAAAAATTAAAGTTACCATGAAAAACACCACGGATATCCCGTCATGTGATTCTGTGTGTTCTATGTTTCTATATATGCTTGCTCTCATATGTGGCTATTCTGAGGAATTAGGATGTCATAATTCTGTAGTTTATAATTTGTTTATAAAATATGTTATAATCTTCATAAAACATTAAGATTCCAGTTGATTTCTTTATTGACTTTGTTTTTTAATGGATTAGGGAATACATTTTCTTAACAATTAATTTTGTTTATAGATGATAATAATTTTAATAGGTACAGCTGACGTTGCGACACCCATCGCTGTCAGATTTCCATTACTTCAGTGACAGCCCCATGATGTCAAATCCGTATCTACTCTACATTAAGAGCACTCTCGTCTCTAATTAGAGATTAATTGAATCAGGGTGCGTCAGAGAGCCCTTTGTCGGTTACTACATAAAAGACCCTCTTCATCAAACCAAACCCCAAAAATAAGTGCTTGATTATCTGCGCCATAAGTAGTCGGGTAGTGTGCCACTATGACTTCATTGTAATAAACTGCTGCATTTCTAGTAGGAATTTGAAATTCGTTGTTTTGGAATGCCTCTGTACTGTTTGGAGGTATAGGTATATTAGTCAGTTAGCGGCCGCGCGTTCTCGGCGTCGCACGTTTGGCCCATAGCGCCATGTTTCGCGTAGTGACGGACGGTTGGAAGCGGTATTGGTGGGGAACAGGTACGGAACAAGCAATCACGACTTCCTCAATAAAGTACCAAATTATCTGTACCAATGTGAGAAAACATGTATGTAGGGCTATGAATTTTCTACATTTCCCGCGTGACATAATATTTTTTTTCCGCGAAACCGTCGCATGGCAGCGTATTTCTCACTTACAACGGCTTAAGATAATAGACATCTCTTGTCGTAAGTAGGTCAGTGTAGCATATACTCTTGTGTTTTTTCTTCTTGACTTTTGAGTGTAAGAAATAAAATATTAATATAATTCGCGCCATGTGAAGGGGTGCTAAAAAATTCAAAATACCACTTGCAACTAAAGTTGTAACTATTTACGTCTGACATTCGGCACGCTTCGGCGCGCTTTCGTGAAATTCCGGCGCACGTGGTTACAATGCAATGGGGAACCGTCAGTTAGTTTGTAAAAGGTTATTCATAATAAATTCGCACTATTAGCTAACAACATTAATATACATCGGTAATAATTAATTATTATATCAATAATTTATCAATTTCCTTCAATAATCATTATTCACATCAGTACAATATGTTATTTATTATATAAATACGTAAGTAAGTAATCATAATTTAGTTACAAGATTGTATCATCATACGTTTATGAATGTAGTGATTACAACCAGACAACCTTCACCGTCATCATGCCATTTTCTAAAAACGTGTCTTCATGGCATAATTGTTGTAGGTAACATAATTATTGATAATGTTGTACCTAACATTATATTATATTCTGCAATAATGGATATAATATCGAGGTAAATGATTATTATCTATTTCATTGTATTAATAAACTGGAGTAAAGTATTGGATATTTAGATTGGATTGAATGAAATAGTTTCTTGCAAATAATTATACTAGCTGACCCGCGACTTCGTCTGCTTTGTTGAGATAAAAATAGCATATATAATGTTGGTCTTTAGGAAATATTCTATCGTCATGTCAAATTTCATTGAGATGCGCTGCACACATGCCGTTACTCGTGAAAAGGTAATAAACAACAAATTAGAAATGTATAATATTAGTATAGTATAGATGTAGATATAGTACGTCAGTTACTTTGTAGATATAGTATTACTATGAGTACATATAGTAAACTATAGGTAGGTAGGTATTCATATCTTACCCATATTTACCTACATTGATTTACATTTGGGTATTACCTATGTGATATCTTCACATTTTTATGGAAATGATATATATGTTATTATAGAAATGAACCGATCAACATATCTAAGTTCTGTTACATCGGTACCCTATTTTTTTTATCTACCCTATTTTATATTTAGAAATCTAACCAGCGGCTTGATTATGTATTGGTGTTTGTTACTATAAACTTTCAATTGTAACAGATTCAAAATCAAGTCTTGCGATTTTCTATGAATCATTTAAAAGGCGATGAAAGGTAAACGGAATGGTTCATAATAACTTTAACTGAAATAAATGGTACTTACATACCTAATTCCAAAATTTTTATCTGATTTAATTGCTTGGAGGTTTGATGAACCCGATGATAGTCCCCGTTACTATCTACAATCGTATACTACATGCAATCCCCATGATCCCCATCCCACCTAAACTAGAGCAGTTCCTAGTTATGAACGAAAAGCTAAGAGTTAAATCATTTCAATTAGTCCATTGTAACTATTTTTAGAGGACATGAACATGGTAGTTACCAGAGGGCATGTGGAAGATACTACAATGCTAACAATGAATAGTGCTCATTGCTATGGCCAAGACAATATACTATACTACACCTAATACTAATGTCGTCAGAATTATCATAAAGGAAGTTCTTACGCTACCTATTATGGTTATAGAAGAAAAATGCAATATACCTATTATGATAAATATTAAAATGATACTAGCTGACTCCTCAAACGTTGTTTTGCCATGTAAATTATGAGTAAAATTACTATTAAAAAATAGGACCAACCATAAGCTGTTTTGGAGGAATATGGTAATGGTATGGTATGCTAACATTGTGACACAACAATTTTATATAGGTATAAGTTTTCTGACCAAAAGTTGTGTCTTATTTATTTATTACACTTTATCGCACCAAACATATTATACAAGAATTATACTTAACAGAATAATTAATGTACAAATTATGGTCTAATAGCTCAAGAGACTCATCAATTGATATATAAATTCTACCCTCCTTTTCTTCGCAAAAATTAAGATATTTATTTTTCTGAGCTAAAATAGACCCTACATTTTAAATTACACCTGTTACAACATATTGATGAAAACTATACTTTTGCGTTATATGTACAAATATACTTTTAGACAGAGAGTTACGAGTATATATAAAAATCCTCCGAAACTGCTTGACCGATTTCTATGACATTTTACATGCATATTCCTTAGGTCTGAGAATTGTCTACTATCCATTTTTCATACCCTTAGATGATACGGTTGATCCACCCCTAACATTTTTTTAACAATATGTTTCTTGTATAACGTGGCATTAAAAATACATACAAGGTTGTTTTCACCTTTCTATCACCAATCCCCCTTTTTTAATAGCGATTTTAAATTATATGACAAAACGGTTGTGGGGAAAGCTAGTAAAATATAAAAACTGCGCTAATAAAGATTATTAATTATTTTTTTAATTTTCTATACATATAAAATGAAGACAATTTTACTTGCAATGTTATATACCTCTATGTGTGTGAGGAGATTACATATTATCCTTTTTTGTTTTTTTTGCTTGGCCATTGTCCCATTTGTTTGGGTTCAGCGTTTCTTAAGTCCCTATTTATCATATGTGGCGGGGTCTGCCGTATTCTGATTATATTTTAGATATTCTTTTTTTTCTTTTATATTTAATGAAGATAATTAATTTTAGTGGGATAATAGGGCAAACAGTTCTGCTAAATATATTAGTTACACTATGCGAAGCAGCATGGGTAAACGTAATCATAGATAACATCACGTATATTCATATATGTAAAAAAATAATATAAGAGTGATCACTCACGTACTTGACGTAACGTCATTATAGCTAACTTTGTTATCTATATAAAAACAATAACCTCTAATACTACATAAAATATTTTTATTTGTTTATATACACGTAATAAAACTTATGTGTATGCGTATATATAAAATATATGAAACTATAAATTAAATGTTTTCAATTGAAACTTGTACTAATACTAATTTTATTATTGTTTTTCGAAATTAGTGAAAGCTACTTATAATAATAAATATGCGACTAATAAATATTACGAATATTTTGAAAATAGCGATATATTTTCTCTATGAATCTGTGTAAATAAAATATTATTGTACGGCATATTTACAATTTATAAGCAATTGTGTGCATAAATTGCTTTTGAAGGTTTTGTTTACGTATGTTAGTCCGCTTCAATTAAATCAAAATAATTTTCGCGTGACATGGTGCAAGTTGATCTTTTTTAGGAACATTCCTTCAATTTATGACATATTATATAATTTCAATTTTATTCATTTCTCATAAGGGCGGTGCCAACTCTGATGAAATAATGTTAATTGCTCTATAATTAAAACAGTTGAACGTTTCATAACATTATTTTTAAAAGATTATTTTTATCATAAACTATCCCTGAAATTTACTTCCAGGCTTTTACACCACTTTAGTATAGTTATGTAATATTACCTTATCTGTGGTACAATGTTTGTATTTTCATATTAAGTCGTCCTACCGAATATATTCCCTACAAATTACAACTTATTGGATAACCTGTTTTATTATACCTTGTTTTATTAAATCCTTGAGCATATTAATTAGCGGTTTCAATGTCATGTAACAGGTTTTTAGTCCAGCTGACTCCAGCAATTTAAATTCGATTGCTACAAAATATCTACCTATCTACGTATATTTCAAGAAGATAAATCACATGTAAAAACAATAAGTTTCTTATTCTTGTCAGAAGGTCGGTGAGTGGTCGTTATTTTTTATAAGCAATTTTATTTTTCCCTTATATATACATACATATACATGTCATTTATGTAAACACATACATACCAAATGGCTTCATTGCAATAGAGTTACCTTCTTGTGTTGATTCTTCTAATTACTTCACAATGGAATCCGATTATTCTTAAGAAACTTAAATTGTACTATATGTATGTATGTCACTTTACTAAGTTTCCACATCTACCTAAAAATACAGAAGAATACAAGAATATTACAAGAAACATACAAAATTCACGTCATTCCTTTTTATATTAAATTACTAGATTTTATACCTATTCTATATATCTTACAAAAGGTAAGGAAGACGGATGGGTAATGTTATTCAATTTTAGAAGGAAAGGGTATGGGAACTTATCCTATGGAATATAAAAAGGAAGCATAATGCTTTAATATTTACAAGATTGCGCAAATAGTAATTATTTGTAAAAAGTTTTGATAACAATATTTTATTAGTTGTTCTAATATTTAATAACAAATAAAAACTGTAGATAGTAATTTTTTGCAGAAGTTTCTCAACAGAGTTGTGAATCCGGTTATTGAAACATAAAAAATTACGACATAAAATATGTAGTAAAAAACACTATAGCCGTACGATATGTCGCAGACTTACATACTGTACGCTTTTAAAATATCTAGTAAAACATTTTTTTTTCTTAAATACTTCACAGTTGAATAAGATAGAGTGCCGACGCAAAGCTGGAAAAAAACATGCAATTCATAATTAATGACTCAACGCAACCCGATTTCACGTAAATAGCACCTGCATACATGATTCTATTTACGACATTTCTAAAATAATTGAAAATGACGTGCATTTTTTAAATGTAATGCTATATTTCTGAATATTTGATATCTTACTTGCTTCGTGCTGAAATGTAATCGCAGTTCGTGATAACTGCTATGGTATTATATTAATATAATAATCAATAAATACAAAATCAATATTAAAATTATAAACTGGCTGAGCACTCAACTTATCATGCGTGGTATTCAGTATTACAATAGGCTAACTTAT